GATCAGTGAAGCTTCCACTTATGGGCTGTTTAACAAAATCCTGTGTGTAATCGACGTTATGATCTGGCCAATCAACGAACTTTTCCCTAAAGAGCACAGTCTCTGAACGAGCTGTCATGCGCCCAAACAAAGCCCAGGATGGGCGAGTTACTTCAGTTGTCTTGGGCGGATCATCTAAGAGAGTTTTAGGGTCTAACGGACTGAGGCTACTCCTGAACTTGAATGATTTATTAAAGATCTCTTGTGCCAAGGCCACGCCCTTTGCTCGCGCCAAAGCGTCACAGTTTCTACCGAGCCACAGGTACACTTCTGAACCAAAGTCAACCACGTACGCCTGGAAGAGCAACAACGGGAATCAGTTTTTATTTGTTAGTTATGAGGAGGCACAACTTTCTGACTAATTAAAAGTAGATATCTACAGCTTTTATCCAAGGTTCGGCGAGTTGGGCGTTTTATGAGAACACAACACATAAACCGGACCATTAGATCGGGAGTCCATCACAGTAACCAAAAGGGTATCTGATCTCCGTGATCCGAATGATTTCATTCCAACAAGGAAAATCGTTCAAAGTTTTGAAAACTAAAAACACCTCACTCAGGACAATAAACAGCACAGCGGTCAAACGTCTGCGCATGCGTGAGGTTGTAATGATCAAGTGGAGAGTTAAAGCTGTGAGAACCAAGTTGTCTTACACGAGTTAAAAAAACAACAACAACAACACAAGCCAGTGAGTCACGGTGTTTTTAAAGCGTAGAGCTTTTTTAGTAAAGCTCAAAACAAATGGTAAATCAACAGGATAGCCGTAATTGATTAAGCTTTGTGTACGAAAAAATCTCGAGTTTTCCTTTTCCCTACATTTGTTTAATTCACAGATTTCGATTTTCTTTCGCTTACTTTGCGAAACAGCGGTTGTTTGTTTAGTTTTTCTTTTATATTTTTCGCGGTAAATTGGCGGGTGCCGGCCAAAATTGATCCCCTCGCGCTGCCCAATGTTTGACCGCTGGGTAACCAATCAGTAACTTTTATTTGAATGGTTACTCACGAGGGTTTCATCCATAGACACAAAATTTCGGAAACCTTTATTTGTGCTCAATATCTGATATGAGTCAATCAATGGGGAACTGATCTCGTGTCACAGCATACCTGCGAATTATCCATCAAGTCTGCACTGAGGACACGTCCTGACAGGTCATCACGAAGTACAAGTTCCGGGGGATCCGACGTACAACTGACTCTGTAAATCAAGTTGGTCTTTATCAAACTTCTCTCATGTACTTCATCGGAAGGAAGATCTGCCGCATCTATAACAAAGAGCATCTAGTTAGGATGTGATGACCCTGGGTAATAAAATCACTGTGATTTTGTGCTTTTCTTGACGTCTGAGCTTGGAAGTGAGGCAAGAAGGGCTGGGTACAAGTTAGGATATCAGGTATCATGTGACGAAGATATTTCTCGCCATACAAGGCAACAACTTTCTCACTTACCCAGTCCTTCTTACTCCCTCTCTTTTTTCGCAACTTTGCATGTCGTTTCGGTCCGTATTGGGAAAAACTTTGCCCTCTGTCTTGTGTACGGCCTCGGGCGGTATCCACGACCTCGGGCACAGTTTTTCCCACTACGGACCTCCCTTCTGGTGAATAACATATATATATATATCAACTTCTCCTAACTTATTTACAAGGATATGTATGGCAGCGATAGGGAAGAATTATGGGGCAGATATTGGGCATTCAAAGATTTAAAAGTCAGCATCAGTTGTTGAAAAAACTTCAAATTTTTTCGATATCAAAATGGTACCTGGGACATCATCTTTGCCTCCCAAAGTCTTCCAGAAGAGCTTTGTTCCAGCATCATTTATCTCATGACCTTGATCCATGATATGAACTTTTGTAGCATTACAACCCAAGTCTTTCTGCTTTACTATGATAGTGGAAACTTCCATTCCCTGTTAAAAAAGATTGATCCGCCATAGCCCCATTATAGATTTTTTTATGTTGGCAAGACCAGCAAGGAGACATGGTTGTGAAATGATTTCATTTCTTCGCTGCAGGCTAAAAGTTTCAAGTTTGAACCAATACTATTGTGTTGCGATCTTGGGCAACACAATTCAATCTAACAGTGCTCCTCTCCATCAGGAGAGAAATGGGCACAAGCTAGCTATCATGGGAACATGCCAAACTGCTGAGAGATAAATTGTGATGGACAAATAAATTTTTCAAGGAGAGCAGCAATGATACCACTTGCTTCCTCCTACAGAAACCTGTAGAGGACCTCAAAGTAAAGATCTACTCCATGTACTTGGTCCATAAAACTTCTTCTTAATCTCAAAATATTTAAACAGATGAATATCCAAAAGGAGAAACCCTTAGGCCAACATAACTGCATCCATATTTCATGAAAAGTGTTCTCTATGAGAAGTTTCCATGTGAACAGAGGATGCACCATACCTTAGCCTTCTTCATTATGCTGGCATCCTTCCCATTCCATAAATGGATGTCCTTTGCAGTCACCAATACAAACACGTCTCCAGAATTAAGTGATTTGACTGAAGGCTCAACCAATCTTGTCTGAATATGCCTTGAACCTAAAGCAAAAGCCAATTTTCATAAGCCACTATGACAAAGAGTCCATCTTCATTACATTTAATTCTTAAATCTTGATAGAAAAAAATGCATGTGGCTACTGATATAGGATATAGTACAATTTCTATAGAATTGAAGTGAATTAGGGTTGAATAATGATGCTAGAAGGTAGTGTTGTAGGATATTTGTCTAAAAACAGAAACCCACTGCATCCACTGCAGAGCCCACAAAGAAGGAGTTTTTACTATACTCCTTTTTTAGTTATTTTTTTAATAATTTTTTTCATGATATTGTAAGATTCTGGTCCCTACAATGGGTTAAAGAGTAAAATGGTGATACATCATCAATTACAGAGATCAGGTGAATGAAGCAAACTAATCAGTTTAAGACTGTTATCCTGATTCTCTAACCTAATTTTTAAAGAAATCTCTAAAGTCGTAGTGAAAATTTCTCATCACATCATGGAAAGCACAGGGTTTATTGGGTAAACTGGCACAAACCTTTAATTTGTAACAGCATGACAGGTAAAAATCCTCCAAAATCTTTGATCTCCTTGCTCACTCCTGAAGCATCTTTGGCTGTCTTTCTCAGTGCAGTGCTTGCAGAAGCCAGATCTTCTGTGCTCGACAAACCAGCAATTGCTTCATCAGTGAAACCTTTCTGTTTTTCTGAGGAGTAAGTTTATGTTATACAACAAAATTAATTTCATTTGTAAAGAAACACATTGGCCCTGTTTCAGCACTTCAGACTCCAAATCAAAATGTTAGGATTCTGGCTATAGTGCATGTCATAATATGGTGTTCCTAACTAAGGGATTTAAGTCCTACTGTCTGACTGAACTGTGGAGGGAACCAAAAAAAAATTCTCAAGCTGGGAGAAGGATGACTCGTGATGGAATATTAACCCTCTATACCCTAACACCAGTTTACAATTTCTCCTTACTGTTCTCTATACATTTCCCTTGGTACCTAGAGGGAGAATTTGTCTAACAATCAAGAGTTCATCAAGTTTGTGATCATTTACTTTATTCTCGTGACTATTTTGTCTCATTCAGTGGTGATAGTGTTAGGAGAAATTAGATGCTTATCATTAACAGGGATTAAAGGTTGATCCATCTAAGAAAAGAAGCAATAATCTGCAGACCAACTCTCCCAGATACATTTATTCAGACACCTTTTTCCTCCCCTGCCCCCCTCAATGTTGTCCTACAAGATGGCAATTAACAACACTGAAAGGGAGAAAGAGGGAAAAGAACATCACAGAACTTGTCCTGGAGAAGAGTCCCGACTAATTATGTCTGAGAGTGTAGCTGCTTCTTTTAAAGGAAAATGGGATAGTGCCATGAGTTGTGTGCAGGACTTCACCTTGTGTTGACAAATACTTAAGATTAGCTTCCTTAATCAAACCTTCTATACATCAAACAACTTGAAACATCAGCTTACTTTTCTTGTTTACCATTGATGGCTTCTCCACCTCTCGGATCTTAAGAATCTGTTGGGACAAAATGTTTCAGGTTAGTTATAATGACAGTCAGGGAGCAGCCAAATTTGAGTATCAACATTAGGCTTTGCTACACAACAACTTTCAGTTAAATATGAAAGTGATCTTTGCAGCAATGAGCACTACTTAAGCTGTAGTGAAATTAAGGCCTGAAAAAAATTCAGGCCTATACAGGATTTGAACCCATGACCTCTTTACTATTGATGCAGCATTCTACCAACTGAGCTAACAAGCCAACTGGTAGCTGGTCATTATGTTGATTCCAAAAAATCCCCTGAAGTGATGAATAAATGACTGTGAATATATGAAAATCATATATGTGAACTGCAGATAAAGAAGTGAATATGAAAGCGATCTTCCCAGTGATGAACATTACTTGAGCAGTAGTGAAAATATGGCCTGAAAAAAATTCAGGCTATTACAGGATCTGAACAATACAGCAATTGAAAATCAGAGTCAGTAAATGTAATGCCATTCATCGTAATCATATTTTGTGATAATACTTATTTACTGTAACACATTACAACTAGACAAAGCTCTAAGCAACAAGTCGATCCAGAGCAGATTAACTTACATCTGTAGTAGTTCTTAGGTCATCTCTGTTTTGTCGCTGACGCACAGGGTTACTACTGGCTGCATGCCGTCTGGTTGGCTTGATTCTCCTTCTTTGGTCAGAGAAGGCCTTCAAGCTAAAGTAAATTTTAAAAAAATTAACAGCAATAAAGAAAACTTGTAGATCTTGAAAAAGAAGCTGTGGTGATGTCACTATCAATCAAAACTTAATATGATCATCAACTTATCCATGAAAAGGTTTTTTAAAGTAACCCTTTAAAACCCTGAGAGTGACCAGCATTTAATTTCTCCTTACAGTAGAATGCCAAGTCATTCATTAAGATCATGAGAATAAAGGAATGATTGCCGACCTAAGTAGCTTTGATTGTCTGAAAAAAATTCTCCTAGTCAAGACCAAATAAAGTATAGAGACTTGTATGGAGAATATGGAAACTGATGTTAGGGTGTAAAGGGTTAGTGGTGGAATCCAAAAAAAAGAGTTTAACTAAGTAATACATACATGTGACGTATGATTGCAGACTTCTAATGGGACACTCCTCAATTGGGAGAATTTGTTTACAAGTAACACTAGTTCTGTTTTGGACTTTGGTCAAAATTGGCCTCATAGACTTACTTGGATGTGATGCATGGATCCTCTGTACTTTCTCCTTCACCAAAGGCAAACGACTTTGGCCTCTCATCATCCTCCTTAATCAGTCTTTTCTTAATGTTATCTTCCATTGTGTATGACAAGGGTCTATCAGTTGATGAGCGAGACGTCAAGTTCCCATCAATTTCTGCTTCACTTGGCCCATCTTCCTCATCCTTATCATTTTCACTCTCTGAGCTCAAGAAGTCTTCATCACCATCTTCAACAGTATCTTTGTCTTCTTTCTTGAAGTGCATTTCTGCTTCACTCTCAGTTTCACTCTCTTTGGCTGAGGTTTCCACTGTGTCTAGTGATTCTTGCTTCTTGATCTTATCGTCATCACTTGTTGTACTGTAATGCTCGATTTGATCGTCATCAGTGAATGAATCTCTTTGTGGAGCACTTTCCAAGGAGGTGGACTCAGCTGGAAGAACTTTTTCTTTGTTGTAGATTGGCTCTGGTTCCTCATTCAGTTCATTTCCAAGTGTTGGCAAAATATCCAGCTCCTTGCTAAAGCGTTTTTCAAGTTCATCATCTGTTCCACAACCTTCAGGCTTTCCACAAGGACCATACTCAGCTAGAGGAACTTTGCCTTTGTTGTAAATGGGCTCTGGTTCCTCATTCAGTTCATTTCCAAGTGTTGGCAAAATTTCCAGCTCCTTGCTCGAGCGTTTTTCAAGCTCATCATCTGTTCCACAACCTTCTGGCTTTCCACAAGGACCAAAATTTGGAGTCTCACTTTCTTCAGTTCCACTATCACTTACTTCTGCTTTCTTTTTCTCTTCCTTTCCTTTCTTTCTTTTTTCTTTCTTTTGCTTTGGAGAATCAGCAACCTCAGAACCAAAGGTCTTGGCAATATCAGTTGCTAAACTCTTTATCTCTTGTGCAGTGTCTGGACTCTGGCTTACAAACTCATCTGTCATCTGCCTTCGACTTGCCATGATTGCTTTCATATCATCGCTAGTACTCAGTTTCTTTTTCAGCTTAGGTTTACTCAAAGCCCTTGGCTCTTCTTTTTGTTCTTTAGCTTGAAACCGACTCTTCAGACTTTCCAGTCTCTCAAACTGTTCCCCTTCTTCAAACTCTGGGTTTTTCAAAACTTGCTCCTTTTTGGGGGCCAAAAATCTATTCTTTATGTCTTTCATCTTTGGAAGCATCTGGATTTCTTCATTGAGGGGAGTAGACTTTGGTATTGATTCTTCTTTTTCTTGCATTTTCTTCTTAATATCAGCCAGTTTAGGAACATATTCAAGATTATCATCTGCAATAGTGGGTTTTAGAGGTTCTTCTTTTGTTGAAGTGAGCAAATTCTTCTTAATATCAGACACACCCTGACTAAACATGTAGTCTCTAGCCGGTTCAGCTGAGTCAGCTGGTCCAGCATGCTCATCAGCTGTAGGCTCAGGACTGGGTGACTCTCCTGAACTAATAGACGTCTTTTCTAGAGGCTGGCCAGGAGTGCTGAAAACAGGCGACTTGGGGAGATGTTCCCCATCACTCAGTGAGGACATTGATGATCTCATAGATGAATCTCCAAACCCATCAGTTTCACTTCCACTCACAAATCGCCGCCGTGACTGCATATACCTCCACTCTTGCTCTTTTTCGTAGTCTTCCTGTGTTGCTAGGTCAATGGGCCTGGGAAGGTCAAATCGAAGGGGATCATCAACCATGTCTGTTGAAAATGTCCATTTTAACATGGTTGTGCGTGCCCTTTCCAATTCAAGGTTTTTCTTGTACTCCTTCAAGGGGCCTTTTATTGGAACCTTACTCAGCACAGCAACAGAATCAGAATTATCTGCCTCCCCAAAAGAAGACCACGAACGCTTGCTGGCATCAACAGAGTCTTCATCATCAGTTTTCCGACGCCTACGCCTCATAGCAATTTCAAATTCATCATCAAGGTCAGACTTTGAACGCATGAGAGAGTAAGGATTAGGCTTCTTAAATTTTCTTGGTGTTGTAGAGCGATTTTCAAAGACTGCCTTCTCTTGTTCATCCTGAGGAAAGCGTGCTGCTACAGTGGATCTCCATCTACGCTGCCTTACTGTCTGTAACCATTGAGGTTCCTTTGGAGCTTCCCCTTCATCAATGACAGGCCTAAAATGGGTGATCCACAGATCATCTTTCTTCAAGGGGACATAGGGTTTGTTAACACCCAATGGTTTGGATGGTTCTTTAACCTGCCACTGTTCTTTCAAAGACTTGACTGAGTCAACATGACCTTCATCAACTCCTCTGTCTTCTTCTACAGCTTCAGGTTCCTCGAATGTTTTCACCACGCCTTGCCGGGGTTCTCCATCTTCTTCATCATCATCATCATTCTCTGAAGGTGGAGGAGGCCACTGCCTTTCCAAATGATGGGGGGTTGGTTGTTCCTCAGAATGTTCTATTTTCCTACCAGCTCCAGATGCTGAGGTCAGGTAATCTTCTTTTATTCTTTTTACTGGTGCAGTTGACTTGATGTCTGGTTGCTGATCTGTAGGGTCACGAGGTGAATAATCCATAATGTCATCACCATCATCATCCCTGACATTATATCCCTCAATGGCAGCAGCATATCGTTCCTTTCTTTTGTCCACATCAGCACCCTGTGATCCTTTTCGCAAAGCAGAGGCATATGAGCCATAACCAGATTTTTTACCTCCTGATTTCTGTGCATTTATCTGTTCATTTTCCTTGTCAGTATCATCAACACTCTCACTACCCCCAGACAGGATTTCAGGATCACTTGGCCTTCTTTCCCTGATTTCTCTTTTGCTGAAGTCTGTTATCACCGCAGCTGACTTTGCTGGCTCTTTACATTTTTCTGCCATTTCCCTCTGTCTCTTCTTTTCCCTCCTTTCTTGCCTCTTTTCTTCCCGACTTAAGGCCTTTGTTAGTTCAATATCACTGTCAGTAGTTGATGATCGAGACCGACCACCTCCAGGAACTCCTGAGTCATCAACTCCATTCACAGATTTGTTTTCCTCATCAGTGTCTAAACTTAATCTTCTTTGTTCCCTCCTTCTTCTCCTTGCTTCAATTCTAGATATTCTTTCATCACTTTCCTCAGACATGACAACTGTTCAGTGCTTTTTACTTTAAGAAAAACCTCCAGCCAAGCTTGCAAGGAAACCCCAACTCTCTTCAACAGATATTTGCTATGCAATGGGAAAAATCACTCATGCATGCAATGCTTTGTGTGACAGATTTTTCTCTGGTCTCCTCTGGGTTTTGTTACAAATTCCAACTAAGTCCTTTCAAAATTCCCTGTGCAGCTTTTGATAACTCATAATTCAATGTACTGCAGTGGATTCAATTGGATATCCTGTGTGTTGAAACAGAGTCAACTCAGCAAACAGATTTTTGAGAAGAGATTATCTTCAGATACAATCACAGTGACCATCACTTCAGGAAGAAACACAAACACTAATAATTTTACTGTGCATGAAATTTCTGAGCTTGACTAATTTAGAGGAGCATAAACCTTGACAGTGCTAGTGAATTTGTGATTAACAGCTTACAGCCAGCCTCAAAAGATGCTTGGCAACATAACAATTCTTGATATTATGAACATACCCAGATTTCATGTGACAGTCTCAAGCTGAACTCATGCAAAGTTGTCATGACCTCTCTTACAATATTAAATCAAATGATTATATGCCTGAAAGAATGACAATAATTTGGTCAACAATTACACAGTTTGCAACCCAGTTTATAGATCACCCTACATTTCTCAGCAATCCAGGTTTTCGAATGAACTTTAATTCATAAAATCTGCTCATCAGCTAAAAGCAGATCAAAGTATTTTAAGATATTGCTTAACACTGGTGACATGTAATTTAATCTGCCCTTAAACAGAAGGAAAACAGGATTGCATGACTAAACTTCAGTTATCTTTGATCAGTGTCTCAAGAGTTGTTATTCAAAACACCAAATTGAGCCTGATCAGCTACAAGACCCTTAAGATAAGACATGGATGTGGAATCTAAAAATCTGGAAGCAAACTAGAAATGAAAAAACTTTATAATTTTGAAAATTTGATGTTCAGTTCACTATTTATACATACTTGATGAAGGCTGATTATCAAAAGATCTTATTGCATTAAAATATAAGCCATTCCAATGCTTAATTACCTTTACATCACAGTGTTATCCAGCCGTGCAAAATTCAAGTTCAACATGATAAATCATCCAATTTTCTCTTTTCATATAATCATAAGACTTAATTAGTACACATTACATCAGAAGTTAAATTTATTTTGGTACCATTAATAACATGAAAGATTATTAAGGAATTATATTACATTCATTCATCATATTCCCACAAAAAAAGGAATTAAAAGTTTTAATAAATAATTACCCATTGTGATAAGACGGTGGAGAACAATTAAGGAACAACTGAAAAACATTTTAAAATTTGCATTCACCCCAGGAACCTCATCCCACACCCACTTAGTTTTCACATTTGTAAGAAGAACCTTTGACTTCTTATATACTTCTGCTAATTTTACTTTTTCATATTTTTAATAAAAACAACTTGGTTTATTTTCAAATAATTCAAGATATAGATCAACAAAAAAGTCATCGAGCATGATTGTATGTTTACAACATTTCTGAAATAAACATAAGAGTGTTTGGTTAAACAATAACAGCAAAGCAATTCATTAGTTAACCCTTCAACTCCCACCTCAAATTTGTAATTCTCCTTACTGTCAACCATACAATTCTTATAATGTTAGTTCAGAGAATTAATTATTGGATCAACTAATTATCCCTAAATTGATATTTTTCTTTATTCTCATCACTTATCTGATTGATATTGTATTGATAATGTAAGGAGAAATTCTATCTTAGTCACTATGGGAGTTAAAGGGTTGACAAAACTATCACTTCCTGCCATTAATTTTAGTTTGACCACAAGAGTACTTGCAATCAATCGCACAGTATGAATGACACTAGAAAATTTTGAATCAAATATTTGGTTTAAACAATGCTGGACATAGATAGAAATAAGAGAGGTGGTAAATTTTGAGCTCGCTAAAGAAATAAAGAAAGATGTTTTTTATCTTGTCACAAGTGTGGGACAAACAAAACATTCTGAGTCCCCATGAGGAATTGAACCTCAGACCTTCAAATGCCGCGCTCTGATGCTCTACCACTGAGCCACAGAGACTCCACAGTGAATGAGGTCTATTACGAAGTTCATATAACACGCATCCTGTATACTGCTAGGATCAGCAATGTCAATAGAGTAATGTTTGTAAATAGAAATAAGAGAGATGGTAAATTCTGAGCTTAGTAAAGAAATAAAGAAAGATGTTGTTCATCTTGTCATGAGTGTGAGACAAAGAAAACATTCTGAGTCCCCGGCGGTAGAGCATCAGAGAATGGAATCCAAAGGTTTGAGGTTTGATTCCTCAGTCCCACACTTGTGACAATACATAAAACATCTTTCATTAATGCTGGAGATATGTTCATCTTATTTCATACAATTCAGAACTTGACAACACCTCCTCTTACACAAATAACCTTTTCTTTGACAGTTGTTTTTGGCTGGCTCAAGAGTAAACAACTTTCTAAAAATCGAAACCCAATAACTCTATTGTAACTGATAGCATGCGAATGCTATGTAAGAAATTGTAACTTTTTAAACCCAATATTTATAGGTAGGTTTTTTTTTACAAATGTTCTGCAAAACAACTTTTTTATGTTATATTAAATTATAACCCTATTCAAAACTAAAAATATTAATTCTCTTATAGACTTTCTGGAGTACAAAACATAGATACAATTAATTGTAAAAGAAAAATCAAACAGAAATATTTTGCAAAAAATTGATTGGTGAGAAACTTCCTAATTAGGTTCCAAGTTTGCCATTTTTCATGGTGAGGTCTTTGGTCACTGAAAAAAAGGAACCTTCAAAGAAGGATAAGGGCCCATTTCTGAAACAGTCCATAATTAACAAGTATACCTTGTTTTTTAATTTATTACATAGGCTGTCCAAAACCTTAAATTCTTTTCACAAAACACACAAATATTCACAGTTTGAGTTTCTTCTCAAGGGATGCGCCATCTATGCGCCATTTATGGTTGATTACATCTATGAGCTGATTGTAACTTAACTTATCTTGATGATGTCAAGCATCCTTGGCTGACAAAATCGCTAGTAATTAAAATTTGAAAATACCTGTATTGTTCCTTCAAGCCCTAAATCAGATGAAATTATATCAGATTTTAATTTTGCCATTTAATCCAAATGTAAATAAACAAAGGTGTTATTCTCAGAGTAAATGAGTATCGAGAAATTTGCATAAATATCTCAATGCCTTGTAGGCCTTCAAATTTGGGATAATTTATCTATGGTGACTTTAATTTTCATATTAATATAATTTTTAGCAGCTTGAGAAGCCTAAATTGTCATCAGTATTTGCCAAGAGTTTTTTCTGAAGGAATCATGGGATGATGGAATACTGGAATTGCATTTTTGACTACAATAATAGCATATTTCTGGCCTGTTGAGCAAGTAAACATGTACTAAATAAACGTGACAGATCAATTACAGCACTAGTTTGGACGTTGTTACAAATTTAGAGTTATTCGACCTGTGGTACCAACAGACCCCTACACAGCAGTGCTATTACAACAAACTACGATTCCCGTCAATATTTTTGTTAATTTATCAAGACCCCTGTGGGGCTACAACTGAGATCAGAGAATCACCGTAAGGTTCATTTTCACACACAAAGAAACCTGACATTTACAAGATGCGAAAAATAAACAGAGAAAAAATACATTGAAAATTACAATACGATAAGTATTTAAAATTTCTCAAAACCTGTCCACCAATACAATTTAGTTGTTCGAGTCCAAAACAAACAACTCAAGATAAGAAAAAATTCACAGACACTTCTTAATGTACCCAATTTTCGAAAATAGGGGGAACTATCGCGCGATGGAACACATCATCGCTTAGAATTCATCTCTGAAAGAACGAAATTTAAACCTTAGTCAATTTTTCGAAGCGTATCACTGCGGTCTCAAACTATCGAAGGAAAACGACGTCTTCGTTTCACCGACAGAATTTTGAAAAACAAACAGATTCCTCATAAGGGCATTTAATTTACTCTGAGACAGCAACAGGCACTGAGCGAACTTATTAACACTAGTTGACAAGCTGTTTTTCATATATCTGCTTACCAGATTTGAAATTTGAGAAATTGCCTCTAAGTACTTTCTAGTAGGGCTGTTAAAGGGATCCAAAATGTGTAGATTAAACAGCTTAGCTTGTCAACAAACTGAAGTTATTCTTGTAAACAGCACTACATGTGCAGACTTGAGTTTTGCGACAATCGAGGGAAGTACGAACTTCCTATTCACATTTCCGATCTGGCAAACAAAGGTATTTAATTTAGCCGGAATTGCGGCCCCACCTAAAAGGATTGGCAAATTCATCACATAAAATGTCCTTGTGGTATCCATTTTTTTTTTTCACGCGACAACAAATACACGACGTGTATTGAATCCGGTCCGTGAAACTATTTTGAAACGCGCCAAATTAAGATTTTTCTACGGGAAAACTTCAAAACCAAATTTGGCTAATTTTCAGGAATATCAGATCCAATGTAAAAGTAAGTTTAAGCGGCGTTAATTTAAAACAATTTAGTTCTTGCATGACAAATTTGGCACGAATCAAAAATTTTGTTAGTCATCTGTCGTCAAATTTCATGCACAAATATTCGATCGTTTGTTCGAATAAGTCTAAACCTTCCACACGGACATCGCAATTTAATAAAATTATCCGTCGTTATTATACTTCAATCACATTTAACGCCAGGGCAGATTTATGCCAAAAGGAAAGAAATCAAGACCGAAACTAAGAGAATCCTTGATTCATAATTAACCAAAAAAATTAATCACCGAATGGAGTCCGGATGCTACCAGCACATCTTGATATTATTTTTTTACAATTGTTGGCGACAACAGTCATAGGTTCCTGTCTGTGAACACTTAATACCACCACCCAACCCGCTATTTAAAATTTTAAGAGAGCAAAAAAACCTTAACATGATCATATGAATTGCAGTCTTTGTGGGCACAGCCGCAATATTGACTGCTACAAGCACACTTACCTGCTGCTCAAGAATTCGGAATTTCTCCTCGCAAATCCAAATTTAACAATTTCTTGCTTTTAGGAATACTTCAGCTCTTTGATTTCAGTTTTTATCGAAGGATCAAAGCAAACTCGTAGAGAGTTCAAGAAACCAGACACAATTATTCAAAGCTTCAAAGCGAACAAGGGCTACTCCACTTCTGGTTTCTGTCGCTACGTAACCCACTTATCCGTAAAGCAGGGCTTTTAAAAATCTCACAGGTCGTCAACAACCGCAAGATATGCAGGATCAATGGCCTTGAAAAGTCAGATTTAAATTAAGCCGTAGAAGTAAATGGCAGGGAATACTTGACGAGTGTTTACAAGAGTGGAGATTTAGAAAGCTGCACGTCTCTCTTCACGCGGATATCCGCTGACAGGGGAGCGTCGTTGCAAAAGGGCGAGAAGAATCTCTCAACACCCCCGAGCTCACCCCCGATAGTCTCCTACGCTGTCGTTCTCCAGGAGGTCACAGCAGACAAAGAACGTTACGTGACAGCCCAAATGTCTACGATGGAGACTTTGAGTCAAGTGTAGCTCTGAACAGCGGAGATTTGGACAAGAACAGAGTTCGCCCTAATAAAATATTTTCCAAAGATTTTTAAATAGCCAGCCTAAAAAGAAAGATAGCAGGCGGGACCTGGCACCCAAAAGGCACAATCATCTACTCCACTAGCAAATTATCCCCTTAGCTTCTAATTCTTGTTTTCTCTCCAGTTTTAATCATTCTTCAATAACACGAACGGAAATACACCAGAGTTTAGAATCTATTTCAGATCAAGAAAGGCCTTTTAAAGTTTTTTCTTTAATTTAAGTGGCCGGTGCTTCAAAAAATGAGCAGCCACTGAAAACGTCGGCCGCCGGTACTTCTGGTAAACATTGTCTGAAGGACATTTGCTGAGGAGATAGGTGTTCAGAGTAAAACGGAGCGAAATATTGAACGGTGCGATTGGAGTGAGGTTTAGATCATAACTTACGCTACTCTAGCGCTGTTCATTTTAATTGCGCTTCGTTTCACCAGCTAAACACCTGGAACGGGATACTGTGGTGAAAGCATTTTAAAATGTTTTGTCAGATTGAGGATAACATTGAAATTCTCAGCAAGTTTAATTTAATGTTTTCACTGTGTGGAAATCAAGGACACACAAGCAGGAAAATGTTCAATTTTCGAAGAAAATAATAAATAAAAGTTTTTCGTTTGTCTCACGATGAAGTCATGCGTGATGTAGATAAAACTTAACTTTTATTGTTATTAACCACGATGAATAACCACAAACTTTTTTACAAAATAATAAATTAACCTCATCTGTTATCGCTATTGAGGAAAGAAAACCAAAAACGCCAATAAGCGCTATTGAGTATACTCCGCTTTAGCAAATGCACTTTTGTGCAAACATTGCAATGACGGCAACTCATTTAACCCTTTAAACCCTAAGAGTGACTAGCATCTAATTTCTCCCTACAATATCACCCCTGAATCACACATTAAGGTCATGAGAATTAAGGAAATGGTCACCGGAGAAAGAACCTTTTGATTAGCGAACAAATTCTCCTTGTCAGCACCTTAGGATATGCATAAAGAACAGTGGAGAATATGCATACTGATATTAGGGTGTAAAGGGTTGAAAGGTAACAATTTTGAGCAAATAAGGAACACTTAGAAAACTGGTTTTCAGGCTTCATCCTTGGAAGAGAGTGGTGTGCGCCCGCGAAACGATGGACGGCGGACGAGGAAGGGAGGATAGTCTGAAGCGTTGGAAAATTGAAAAATTATGAAGTAGAGATTGCATTAAAATTCATTTCCACCATATGTGTAACATTTCAAAGTGCAGTGTGCATCGAGAAAATTCATGATCACATTAGCGCTGCAGGACACGCGTTTCTGCTCTCGTGGAAAGATTTTAGAAGAGTCGGGGAGAGATTCACCGCATAGTATGGCACTAGAGATTAGAAGACAGTAATAGATCCTTTGCATACCTCTCGCCTACTCGCGTTGTTCAAGGGAGGGCTTGCTTACAGACTATCATCATCACAGAATTGTATTTTCACGAGTTTCGTAGACCATTAGAGTGTAGTAATGGAAACTCATTCGGTCCCATACCACTTTCGACTTTGAATCGAGCATTGCTCTTCGCTACAAAATAATTACATTACTTTAGCTATATTCTCAAGAGATTTATCTTGCTATAAAAGTTGTAAGTCATTCTATTTAAGATTAAGTGTCTACTTAAGCATTTCTGTATACACGCTGTAATCTTGAGCTTTAAAACTGCCTGGCTCTGTCGCTTTTGTTTTGCTGTTTAAGTCACATATTCGGGTCATGAAGTTGAAGTTACAACTGACGCAGTTTGTTTCCCTGACACAGGTCATCAGGCATGACGGGTAATCTGCAACCTGGCTTGAATTGTACGCATGCCCCTTCAGCACAAAGTGCATCTCGGATGATTTCGATTGGCCGCAGCTCTGATCAGATGGGTTTGCAATGAACACCAACATGAAGAGGATGATTACTGGGTGCAGTGTCATTCTGTGATCACGCTAGAAAAGGATAAAGAGAATTCAAATCAAGTTTGATGACGGAATCTTATCGCTGAGCAATGATATTATTGATAATCGCAACAGACCGGCTAAAATCTTATTGACCGCTGGAAAGGGAGCAGTCATTATTTATCGCCTGTAGCTCACGTGTAGCCGTACCTCCCCACCCCCCAAAGGTGAAACGGAGGCGAGATAACACCTTGGGGGAAGAGTGCGGCCACACGTAGGCAGGAACCCATGCTCCAGTCGTCGCCATCAGAATTTAACCCTTTAACTGCCAGATCAAATTT